AAGCCACGCGGGGTCGTTTTCCCTCGCCGTTTACTCCTTCCTCGCCTACCGCCAGCGCGTTAACCCGGGCGGTCAAAGACCGCACCCCAACGGGGTCACGGGGAGCCCCGCTCCGGCGCTGCGGTTAGGCTAAGGGCCGTGACGGGTGCCTACAGCACCTGCTTTTGGGGTATTTTGCATTATCTTAGCACTTTACTGTAGTACCAGGGTCTGCTCTACCTTAAGTTCCCAGAGCTTAGGGCTTGCAGTAGGGAACAAAGGTATTCCACGTGGGCTGGCAAACACATTCTTCAGCCTGGAGAAGAGGAGGCTCCGAGGAGACCTCATTGCAGCTTTCCAGTATCTGAAGGGGCTACAAGGGTGCTGGGAGAGGACTTTTTACAAGAGCCTGTAGTGACAGGACAAGGGGTATCGGGTACAAATTGAAATCAGGGAGGTTTAGATTAGATATCAGGAAGAAATTCTTCACAGAGAGGGTGGTGAGGCACTGGAACAGGTTGCCCAGAGAAGCCGTGGATGCCCCATCTCTGGAAGTGTCCAAGGCCAGGCTGGATGAGGCTTGGAGCAACCTGGTCTGGTGGAAGGATGGAACTAGATGATCTTTAAGGTCCCTTCCAACCCAAACCATTCTGTGATTCTATGATTTGCTTGACTTGGGAAGTCAAGCCACTTCAAAAGCTGGAGCAGCCCAGCTCCGGAGTGCCTGCTAGCCCTCTGGCAGGTAACAGCGGGACGGTGACCTGGAAGGTTGGCCGTGCAACTCTTTGGCCTCCCTGCGCCGAGACTGATGGGGGTTTATAGCTCGGGCCGAATCGTTACAGAACGGACACGTCGCACAGCGTTTCTAGACCCCTCCCAGCTTCCGTGGGTGACCTCTGCGACATCACAGCGCCCCACATCATCCCGAGCTTGGGCCCCGTGAGACAACCTGTCTTTCCTCAGCATCCTCACGTGGATTTTAACTCCTACTGGCAGGGATTTCTGAGGTCAGCCCCCTCCTTAAGTCCCCAAGCGAAGCATCTTGGCCGTTATTCTGCGCTGGCTTATCCTACCTCTCAGCAAGAGGTGGCACAGGGTGCCTTCGCGCCGAGGGGACACCCTGGGATTTACAGCACTCGGAATATACACAGCCCCTCCTTAAGTCCCCAAGCGAAGCGTCTTGGTCGTTATTCTGCGCTGGCTTAACGTATCTCTCAAGAGGTGGCACAGGGTGCCTTTGCGCTGAGGGGACGCCCTGGGATTTACAGCGCTCGGAATATATGCAAAGCCACCTCGCTTTGGCCAAAACATTAACACAGCGACAGAAAACAAACCCTGGAATATTTAAATGGAGTTCCAAGGGCTTCGGGAAGGTGGAAAGATACCACGGGGTCAGGCAGAGAGCTACTTGCAGACACCAACAAGAAATCAGGGTCAAAATATTGCCTGTAATAATTAGTGTGCGCTCCAATCTCCAGCACATGCCCGCTTTTTAGAGGAAGCTTCTCCCTAACTCCCCAAAACACACAAATCCCAACCACCGGCCAGGAAACCCCTGTCAAGTAAAAATTGAACTGAGCCTGACATTTGTATCTCCACAAGTTTCTTGAGGGGGAGAAAAGAATGAGAGTCGGAAGCAACGGCTGAAAGAAACATTGAAAAAGAGAAATGTGGTTTTGTCACACACAGCCAACTGGTCCAAAAACCATCAAGGGAAATGTCTGGATCCTTTGGGGCACCTTCCTTCAAAGAGAGGAAAATCTAACTGCTAGTTAGAGGGGTGCTGCAGGATTTGTCTTCTATTGAGGCGATTTGGCACCACAAGCTCCAAAACAAAACCGCATCCCAGCGGATGCTTACCTGGCGAATCTCTCCTTATCGTTTGGCATGGGGTCGTCATCACACCTAGGAGAACAACCACACACAGAGGAACGGGTTAAATCGCACAGTTAACCCAAATCAAGGCTACAAACGAGCCCCGCGAGACGTTCCAACTCTTCTGCGTCCCATATGGATGAGGAGGAGAGCGCTGCATCCGCGCCAACTCGCCACGGGTAAGGCTGTCTCTGGCTCTAAGCATCCTTATGACAGATGAGCGGGAAGCAACACGCGCCCCAGGCCCCGACCAGAGCTCGGCATCTCGCTGCCGTGCCGATAAGCCGTTCGGCAGCAGCTGTTCCTCCCCGATCAACCGGGGCTGGGCCAGCAGCAGCGCTCCCGTAGCGCTGCGCCGGAAGAGCCGCCGGCTCGCGGGAAGCACTTGGGGAAACCATTTGATGGTTTGGGATGCTGGTATGGAACACAGCGGCATCAGCGGAGAGTTCTGCAACACTGCTTCCCCCAGGGCTCGCTCCTTCAGCCGATCCCATCTCGCTACGGGGCCTACCGAGGGAATTCGACCCGGAGACGGCATCCGGAGGAAGGGGATTCCCCTCCCAGCACTCCCAGACCCCATGTGCGCAGCAGCTTGGCTTTGCCGTCAGCTGCAGGGATGGAGGGATACTGCTGACTGGGAGCATGGAAGAGCTGAAGGATGCGGAGCGCTGCCTCCTTCGGACTCCCCCCGCTTCCCTCAGCGCTGCCGGAGAGGAGAAGCCGGGCGAGCAGCAAGCTCTGGGGGAACGCAGAGACACACCAGGACCACACAACGGAAACTTCCGGGTGCGATGCTCTCCCTCACCTGAGGAATTTACTGTTCCCTTCTCCGTCGTCATCAAAATCAAGCCTGAAAAACAGAAGATCATTATCAACCAAGCGGTTTCTCCTTCCCAGCTTGCGTCTCCATCTGTCCCAACAGGGATGCAGATGATTCCTGAAAGGGAGATTTCGGTAATCCCAGGGGGCAACGACCCACGGAGTGTAGCGGGGGGGTTCCTTTACGCATCTGGCGGAGCAAGGAAACTGTTCGAGAGAGAAACGGCCCGCTCAGAGCACCCACAGCATCTCCACCTCCCGTGCCAAGAGCTCCGGATCTCACAGCTCCTGGATGTGAAGCCCAAGAGGCTGCTACAACCGCTCCAGGGCCTGATCCACAGGAGCACTCCCAACCCAAAAGCTTGGATCAGGTGCATCTTAAAAATACAACATGCTCCGAGAGTTAAGGCTCCGCGCGGCGACCCACACAACCAGCATCCTTCGCGCCACGGCAGACGACATCACCGCGCTTGCTCTACCAGGGTGAAAACCCCGGCTCTAACGGGTGTTTTCAGACCCCCAACCCCATTTTCATGGCGTTCCCTGTCCGTGTGGAAAGCGGGCACGTACACGGGCACCGTGCACGTCTCTAAAGGAAGCGGCAGGACAGCGTGGGGGGAGCTGCAGGGGAGCGGGAGCATCAATTGGAGGTGAAGGAAAGAGTTTGAGTGACTGGGGCGGGGTCAGGGAGAGATTTTAATTAGATTGAAAACGAAGAGGAAAAATTTTTCATGCCAGGAATTTAAGAGCAGCCACTCAATATCCTTTTAATTTGCAAAGGCATTTTTTAGCCAACGAAAACCCTACCACAAGCACACTGCGGCTTCCCCCCGCCCTCTCCCAGCGAGGGCACAGTTGCGAAGGCCCCAAAATTCACGTTCTCCACTCCTCTGCCTCTCTCGCAGCTCATCCCGCTGTTTCCGTGACTCCTGGTTCGCCCTCGGTCCCCGGTGAGGAGCTCTCTTCCCCTGCAAGGTGCAGCTCAACTTTTTAACCCCCTCTTGTTGTAATCCCGAGCCTGGCTTGAGCGCCTGCGGTTGGCACCGAGCGTACCCCGACGAGGTAAAAGGGCCGGGTGCAGCGCACCCGAAGGAACCAGGAACACGTTTCCTCGTCACAAGGTTGAGCGCTCGTTCCAGAAAGCAACATTTCCTCAAAAAACACACTTCATACGCACACCTCCCCAAAAAAGTACAAGCCATCCCCACCGAGGACACACACTCACCCAGGACGCCTCTTGCTGGCCCTCTGGACGATGGCTCCTCCGGCTTGCGTGCCCGGCCCAGGGTTCCCAGAGCTGACGGCTGCACCCAGGGAGGAAACGTCCGATGCCATCTCTAAACGGGAGAGTGGAAATAAAGAAAATGAACCGGCGTGACGGCAAATCCCCCTCCGGCTCCGAGGGTGGAGTATTCTCCACATACAGCTCCCGTGCCACGCGACCGACGCGGAGAGGTTGTGGGTGACGGGCGTTCCGGCTCCTTTCGGGCAGCCTGCGCTGAGGGTCCGTTTCAAGCCTGGAGCACACGCTGTTTTCATCAGCTTAGATGGCTAAATGAAAAGACGTGGGCTCCTTTTCAGAGAGAGGAAGAGCGCGAGGCGCTGGTGGGCAGGGGCTGGAGCCGTTCTCAGACGCGAGCACGCAGGAGGGGAGGGGAGTTTGCCTAATAACGTTAACGCCGCCTCCTGAAAAGGGTTTATTTCCCAATCTAAGAGACAAAGAGTGAACCAAGATGCTTGTAAGGGACCTTAAAAACCATGATCCTGCAGATAGTCGTTTCTGTTCTTCAGCAGCAGCGACTCGTGGGCGCCACAGGCCTGCCTACGCTCCCCTGCAACCGGCCGCGCGCCCAGAAAACATCACCCCAAAACGGCGCTGCCTCTGTTAAGCACAAGGGAGCCAAAACCCTTGTGTTTTACACAGAAAAAAGGGTGCCTAAGCATAGGAAACCTGATGAGGGGTTTCTGAGAGATGAAACAGGAACGCTTCCCAGCG